GTTTATAACGATTTTATCTGAAATTAGCTATTTAAATTGGGGTTTTGAAAAACACGTTTACCTTAGTAGAATTTGAACCCGGGATTTCTGGATTATAAGTCTCTTGCGTTACGTACTGCGCCACTTCTTTACTTGATAAATGTGTTACTTATTGTCCATATAACTTATAACCAGCTCACGAATAATTGTATAAACATAATAAAAATGTTTATTATATGTACTAAAATCTATATGGAAGTGTCTACGTAGAATCCACGTTGAAATTTTGAGGAAAATTTATTTTGATTTGGTAACGAAATATCAACGTTACATTCACGTGGATATTATGTGAATAAATTTTTAATCCACGTAGTCCACGTAAAACATGTGAATTCTACGAGGATTCCACATACATGTTCTCACTGTGTTGTTTCCTAAATGTAGTTGTAAGTGATTGTAGTTGTAAGAATTAACCAATCAAGCCAAAAGTGAGGAGACTATTCGACTGTGATAGGTTCGTTCTTACGGTATACTGCTCACGACATCGACACACGACATATTGTGTAACAGACTTTATCATGTTAACGCGCGGCTCATTTTTAGCCACATTTCAAAACAGGCCATGTGATCAAAATTGACGCTTGATATTCGCCAATTTTGACCACGTAACCTAGTACTGAAAATCTATAGTGCATGTTATGTATGCTATAGATTTTTAGTACTGGCGTGCAATTGTACGAGTGCTGTGAGTGACTAGTGATCAATCGTAAAGTGATCGAACGGGCGTCACTCTAAATATTGGGTTATTCCACACATTATATTTATTGATTATTCATTAAATATGACCTAAAAATAACAATAAAATGACGATATATTTATAACGATAATATGTCGTCATGAATGTTACGTTCTTTTTACGTCATTATTTAGTCCACTGACGTCAAATGACGAAAAATGATCTTAAATCGTCGTCATAATGACGACATCTTGCTACCTGGATAGTTCCTGAAAATTGTGATTTTCTAGGAAAAGTAACTTCGTTACTCATTTGTTACTAAAAAAAGTAACGAAATCAATAACTTCGTTTCAGTAACTTTTTTATGTGACCCTAACAATCCTGGTTTTGACATCCTCAAGTCAAATCTCTCAATTTGACAATAAAAAACTTTTTATTAGAAAATGAAATGAGTAGGGGAGACCGGAGCTAAGTGGGCATCTTTTTTTCAATTGCAGCTTTCAATAATAAAATAAACGATTTTAGTCAAATGATTATTAGCGTTTTATAGAATGCTTATAAGACTACAAGACGGCAATAAAAAGTTTTGGTGTTTGCAACTTCAATTCATCCATATACACAAAAAATGATGTGATCTTGGAAAATGAAATCTCAAGAATGCCGGAGCTAAGTGGGCACTCTTTTCTTTAATTGCAATTTTCAATAACAAAATATCGATTTTAGTCAAATAAATTATTAGCGCTTTATAGAGTGATTATAAGACTACAAGATGACAATAAAAAGTTTCAATTTTTGCAACTTCATTTCATCCATATACACAAAAAATAATGTGATTCGAAAAATGAAATCTCAAAAATTACTTTTGACTATCGAAAACATGTTTGATTTGTTTAACCAAACATATAATAACGTGGCATCTAAACTAACCAAATTTTGTTGGTAAAGAAGACACACGAGATGTCATCTACAATAAGTTGGAAACTCATAAGATATATTTTTGCCACTCAATATTCAAATGCCAGCTTAGGGGAGACCGGTGCCCACTTAGAGACCCAGTCTCCCCTATATAATACAAAAAAAATATGATTTCATTAATTGAAATAGACTACATATTAATATTATAATACAATTTGAGGAGAGTAACGATCCATTTGAACACTTGAAACCTTTGCTAAAATCGACTTTAAACTCGAAATTTTATCATTTTTTTACATTAATCGGGCTGTATTTCTTAAGGCGTATATCGTAGAGCTAAATAAATTATTATTATCGTGTTCAGCGAAAAAACACACAGTACCATATTTGAAATCCGGATTAAGTCATTATTTTTACATCAAATCAAACATGTATTAAGGAAAATCGAAATTTTGATTTAAAAATCGGGTAAAAGTATCGATTAGGGGACCAAGATCCAATGACCTTGACCTTGACATATGTTATCAAGGTCATGACCGTCGCTCGTCCTTCGTTAACAAGTTATAAACAAAAGATGTTTAAGAAATAATGTCTCATTTCTGTTATACAAAATCAAAATTTTTACTCCTACTCCACCTCCTCCCCTGCTTGAGGGCGCGCGACTTTCACCCGAAGCGACTCTCACCCCACCTCCCCCCTACTTGGGGACTCATAACTTCCACGCAAAGCGACTTTCAAAGTCGTGACCCTGAGTGATCTCCAACAAGACTTCGAAAGTTGCTTCATGTGGAAGTCGTACGTCCCTGAAGCAGGAGGGGGAGGTGAGGTAAAAATCAAAATTCACGCTTCACGTGAAAAATCATTACGTAAGCAAAGAAGGATATAGGACAGTTTTTAATATTATATATGACTGGTTTAATATGACTGATTTGGCTCAAAAGAGCAACAATTTTTTTGGCGTGGCATCCACAAATTGTCAGACAGATGAGAAGAATGTATAGCTAGCGATGGGCAATACTTCGAATAAAATATTTTTTATCATTTTCATGCAATAAACGTGTATTTTCTATTAAAAAATTCCGGTTTCATATTTACATACCTGGTATAGCAGAAATAAAACGTTATTTTTTAAAACTTTTTTTGTTAATATCGTTTTAACGAAGGACGAGTGGCGGGTAAAACTTGGAGACCACTAAGGATCATGACCTTGACAACATCAAAGTCAAGGTCATTGGAGCTTGGTCCCCTAATCGATACTTTTACCAAAGTTCACTAGCGACTTCTAAATCTCAATATTTTGAAACAAAAATTAAGGGGTGTTTTTTTGGCATAAAATGGAAGCTTTTGAACTAAATGGCCAATTAAAAAAAATTTTTTTTTTATCAGTCTAATGCATATACTGTAAGTGCAAAAAGTATTTGTACAAAGAAAAAATTTTTTTAAAAAACTTTAGTTCTAAAAAGTAAATATTATCCAGCGAGAAATGGGTCATCGAATTGATATCGATGATTTCAACACCAATTTGACGTCGATTCGATGTTTAATTGACGATTATTTCTTGCTGAGTAATTAACAATTTATTTATAAAGAATAAAATGGACTGTATGTTACTTAAAATTATATATACCAAAAAGATGTGTATTAATTATAGAAAATATATCATTTGAAAAATAAGCTAAAATAAAAAATTGTATTGTTTGGATGCTCAACAAATATTCGTACAGTCGAGAAATTTAGTTCCTAAAATCAGGAATACATGCAAAGCTCGTAGTTTTTGTTAGAACAGAATGTATTCATTGTATAAAATTGCTAATTAATGTTTATTTTCTATAAATAAGACGTTTTTATAAAAAAATTTTTTGTATGAATACTTTTTGCACTCACTGTATGTATAAGAATCGTGTATCACACACTGCGCCTTTTTGTATCGTCGTAATATATTTTTAAGGAATTTCTTTTCGTTGTACAGAAGTATAATAACAAAATGTCGGGGGCAATATACATATCACGAAAAAGATGTTTCCTCTAAACCTATATAATTCCTACGTCGTGTTTGCAATGTGGGAATTTCCAGATTTCCTCGTGAGATTATGTTGATCTAACTATTGTAAGTGATATTGTGATTTTTTGCGTTGTAAATAATAACGTCAATCGATCAGCATGAGACACAAAAGAAAGAAAAATCTTCCAATTTCTCTCAACATCACCTTTTTTTTATTAAAAATAATTGAGTTTTACATATATAGGAATATAACAATAATAACGTTGTTATGTTCTTGTTATTAATATAATCGTGGCTATGCTATATTTATATGATTTTAACAGAAGATGGCTATGTACATTTATGAGAAGATGTCTTATTATACATTCTTTAATGACAGCGATCTTAAATTATTAAATGAACACTGATCCGGTTGACGTTTAACGTTGATAAATATCTTGTTTTGATTCTTTTTTTCTTCGCTATACTAACATAAATAGATATTGTACAACTATCTGGCCCATTATCTCAGCTGATTAGAGCGTCGCGCTAATAACGCATACTGTAGTATCGCTCTAAAGTCCTATACAAAATACAAGGGAATAGCGATAGCGATAGAAATAACATTAGATTTCAACCTATCAGAAATCGGATACACCGAAATATACAGTTTCTGATAGGTTGAAATCTGGTTATTTCTATCACTATCGCTATTCCCTTGCATTGTATATGAAATTTAAGTCGTACGTAAGAATTTGATTATATTTCTCTTCAACTAAAACATATTTTATCAAAGACGCATTAACTTCTTATTATCATATCGTATCGATCTTATTATCTACGAATTATATATGTATAATAAAACCTTTTTTTCGTAGATATACGTTTCTTGAATACGGATCAATATTTCTCTATTTACATTACATATACACTTTTCTATTTATATTACAAAATATCGCACACACAAGACGCAAATATTTTATAAGGTACCTGAGCCGAAAAAGACCCAGCACAAAATATGGCCCACTTTTTAAATTACCGCTTATAAATGCACTTTATGTCTAAATTATATGCTTAAAAGATGTGTCATAGGGCCGATAAGAAGTCTAGAGAACTAAAATCGACAACAACTCGTTTCTTTAATATAATATAAACTTTGTGACGAGATGGATGATTGTGACGTTTTTATAAAAATCCGCTGTAATAAATCGTAAATATTTCAAAAAGTTCATTACATGTACGATATTTTATAATTTATTATAACATTATAATATTATTCAACTTCCTAATCAATGAAAATGACAAATATATATATCAATTTTTAGAATAAATATATTGTTTAAAAACGACACACTTATCAAATAAGGCCCATTAAAATGACCCCTGGGCCTTCTTAGATGTTTAAACCATAACCAAAACAATGGTCGCCTGCTAAGTCTTCAAAACAAGAGCTCGTTTGATATAAATTTTGTCAACGAAAAGGTACCAAATTTGATGTAAAATCTGTTATACTGAATGATAATTAGCAAATATATAACAAAATCTGCTGATGTAACAGGACATAATGTCGCACAATCCATGTAAAACTTGTTAATAATCTGACATATTAGGTTATGTAAGGCTATATCAATAAGCTTGCTCGATTTTGTGTACAATTTGCTTTCACATTGAGTGCATTCTGTTTTGCGCTTACAGTGCTTGTAAGCATCATTTTTCCTTATCTGATATTTGATAGACAACAAGGATAAACTGGTATTTATACAGTGTCAGCTTGAAAACGCATTCTTAATGTAGATACATTTAATATCAATTTATTGAATATTTTGTAATTTGTTGATTATTTTGTGATTTTGTTGACTGAATAAGTGACTTTAATATTCACTTTTTTTGTTGAATATAATATTATGGCTAAAACTAAAAAGACGCAAATAAAAAAATGTGCTGAGAGTTGGAACACAGAGTCCATGGAAGCTGCTCTTAAAGCAGTTGAACGGAATAAGCTCTCACAGAGAGCTATTTGCGAAAGGTATGGAATTCCTCGTAGGACTTTGCGTAATCATATGAAATCTGGCACATCTTTAAAGCGTATAACACGGAAGAGCACTCTTACTATAGAGCAAGAGAAAGATTTATCACGGATTTTGCGAATGGCAGATACTGGCTTACCTATAACTTTGAAAATGTTAAAATATCAGGTATGTAATCTAATTAAATAAGAGAAATTATTTTTGCTTATTTAGATTTTTTAATGAAAGATATATATATATATATATATTCTGTTAAAGCAGTTTTTACTGCTTAAACGTTAATATAATTAACAGAAATATTTCATTCCTAAGATCTACTTTGACTGAATGTAGAATTTTTCTTATTTAATTAAATTTATTCTCATCGTTTCATACTGTTTACAGGTATACAAGTTTTGCACATTACATGAAATTCCTTATACGTTTAACACTATTGCGTGCACAGCAGGCAGATCATGGCTTACAGCAATTCTGAAACGTAATCCTGAAATTTCGAAAAGAAAGGCACAATTTATGAACCAAGGTCGTGCTCAAAAATTGAACAAATTTATTATAAAAAACCACTTTGAAAAGCTTAATAACCTTTTGACAGAGCTAGATATAAAATTTAAGCCGGAAAGGATTTTCAACATGGACGAAAAAGGCTGTAGATTGACGATGCATCATCAACCAACTGTTTTAGCTCAAAAAGGTGCTAAACGAGTCCGCTTCATCGCAAACGAACATGCTGAAAATGTCACTGTAGTTGGTTGTGTGTCAATTATACACTCAGAAAAAAGTTTTGTTGATACATGATCAACAAAAAGTTTTTCGTTGTCCTAACCAAAATTTAGTTATGCTAACAAAATTTTTTGTTAGAATAACATAAAAGTTTTTGTTAGTCACATATTCTAACAAAAACTTTGTTGTCCTAACCAAAAATTTGGTTAGAATAACCAAATTTTGGTTAGGACAATGAAAAACTTTTTGTTGGTCATATATCAACGAAACTTTTTTCTCAGTGTAGGTAACGTGATCCCACCTATGATTATCTTTAAAGGTAAACGCGAAAAGCCAGAGTTCGCTGATAATTTGCCACCAGGAAGCATAATAAGCATGGCACCAAAAGGCTTCATGACTACTGAGCTTTTTATAAAATTCTTGAATTACTTTGCTTCTTTCAAACCTGCTGGAAAGATTTTGCTTGTTTTCGATGGTGCTGCCTCTCACCTTGATTACAAATTGTGGAAGTCGCTGACAAACACGATATTGTACTGTATTGTTTACCATCCAATACCACCCATGAATTACAACCACTTGATAAATCAGTTTATAGATCTTTTGAGCATCATTGGGACCAGGAATTTCTAAAATATCAAGATAAACATCCAGATAAAAAATTCAACAAAACGAGAACATAGTGTTCTCAGAAATGTGGTCGAAATGCATGACTCAATCTAATATAACAAATGGATTTAGAGGTGTAGGGTTGTATTCATTTGATCCCGAAGCCATTCCAGACTCTGCTTTTGCTCCATCAATTCTAACAGAGCGTCTAACAATAGAAAATCAAACTCCAAACATAGCGGTAAATTCATTAATAGTTAGTGATGAAGACATTCCGTTAGTCGAATTATTAAACAAGAATAAAGAAAATCAAGCGACTGTTTCAAAAACGCCGTTCCAAAAACTTATAACAACTCCAATACGCAAAGATTTCTCAGCTGGGAGCTCGCAAAGAAAAAAAGCATTAAATTATAAAGCACAAAAGGTAACTAAAGATCTCTTCAAGAAGCAATATGACAAAAAGTCAGATCAACTTTCAACATCTAAAGCTATCACTCACTCCACTCCAACAGTTACTTGGTACTGTACGGCATGTAAAGAAGATCGTATGGAGGATATGAGGCAATGTACTGAGTGTAATAAATGGTACCACGAGTTATGTATGGGACTTACACCACAAGATACAGATTTTCAATGCTGTTAATATTTTGAAGTTAAAATTTATCGAGTTAAAGTTATCTAAAGTAAAAAAAAATGTCAAAGACGATTACCAAAGATTATTTGTTATTTTAAAAAACAAAGTTTTTTTTTAAAAAAAACGTTTATTGTTCGTTTATGTGTGATTGGGCTTTATTAAATACATATGCACATGGAATAAGGCCCAAAGTCAGATTAAAAAAAAATATTTTGTTTGCTTATTTAAAACTCTGTTCCATAAAAGATGTATATATTTTTTGAAAGTTACTGGAATAAATATTTTATTCTTACAAAGTTTATTTCAATATTCTCATAAATAAAATAAAAATAAAATAAAATAAGTTAGGCCTTATTCGGCTCAGGTACCTTACTCACGTTGTCATACATCTTAAAACAATTACACTTTGTTTTCGTTCGTACAGATCGTTCCATCGACATTGTAGAATTCGTGTTAAAGTGCAAATTGTATTTTCTTCTATTATTTTTATAATACATTATTTTAGACACATGCTCCAGGATATTGTTCATCCAGTTATTGCACATTAATAAAGAAAAAAATCTACTAGGATTATCTATGTTCACATGTTGTTGCTTCATTCGTTAATCGAATATTTGTTAATCGCATATAAGTTTTTGAGATATTCGACTTTTCCATACATTTTCTGTTATATACTTCTTTATTCGTACTTGTTTATCTTTCGCCATATATCGCCACTTATATCAATTTGACAAGCATGCATATAATTTATAATTGTATATTATAATAGTAATACTCGTGAGCTCAAGATGCATTTTTTAATCGCGCGCGCAGATCGAAACTAGAATGCCTGAAATTCCATTTGTTATGTACCTACTTAACTAGCAATCTTCTCAATTTTCATTGTCATCCTCATCCAATTCAACGAATTAATATGATGTCAAGCCGTCTTGACAGTCGCAAGCAAAATTTGCGACTTCAATTTAATTCGCGAAATGCGATTATTATTTAATGTAATAAAACTAATTTTTTTCTTAAGCGATCACCGGAATTTATCTAATTAATTAACAAGTACTACATTAAAAATTAAGATTTTGCGTACGAGTATATATATATATATATACATATAATACATATATAATATTTGAAGCTATTTTCGCGCGAGATGTAATGTTAATCATTTTGCAATATTGCTTCACTGCAATTGTCCACTTGAATTCGACAAAACTGTAGTCATTTTTATATATAATTCAAGATTCGTTTTCGTACATATACATTTCGTATGTTATATATGTTTTTTGTTATTTTTTTTTCATTCTCACTCACCTTACAGTGCTTAGATCCGTTCGATTAATCGGATACTTATTAGTGAATATTTTAGACCTTCAGTTCGACTGCATTTTGCATCTTGACGATCGCGGACAAATAACTCGTTTCACCGTAAGTTTCATCCTCGGAATTGTTCTCGGAATTGTTCTCCAAATCCGAATCTGAATCCGGCAACGGCTCCGGTTTTGCACCATATCGCACCAGTTCCCTGGCGAGCTGGCTGTCTATGCACAGTGCTAGCTGATAAGCCGTTAGACCGCTGTACATCTGTGTGTCTAAACAAGGCTTGCACTCCTGCAACAAGAAGTTAATTACCGATCGACATTTCCGTTCCATTGCGAGGTGAAGTGCCGTTTTTCCCGCTAAGGCTTCCCTCGCCTCGAGATCGGCACCGAGACGCAACAGAAGACGCACCAAGTTCACGTGTCCGTTAGTGGCGGCCAGGTGCAAGCACATCTCACCTGAAATCGAATCAAGAACCGGAGATTAAACAGTGTTTAATGAAACAACAGTATTTAGAAAAAGAGACTATTCTCTTATATTATTATTTATTATTTATTTTTGGAAAATAATCAGGTAAAACACTGAAGTTATGTAATATCAGAAGAACATCATCATGATTTTATTTGTCATTTAATTGCAATCAGCTGATGGCACAATGCCGTTGCGCAAATTTCGATGTTATATGATCTATCTCGGCGGCACATAAAAATATCAGTTTTATTCTTATCACTATATATATCATCTATTATTATTGTATGCAATTGTTATAGATAAAAATGTAAACGCGAAATGTGTTGCTTGGTAACGCATAATCAATTATGTACAAGTATTATACGTTATTAAATGTGAACAGCATAATTAAACGCACACGCGCGCGCGGGGTACGAGTTTACGATAAAAAAATGAGTGCAGCTCAATTCGCATATAGCGACTTGCATCTAATTTTTAACTTTCCTATTCATTTCCCTTGAAACAGTAGGGACACGGGGATACGCACATCGAAATGAGTGCATATAGTCTAGTCATATACTTGTCGTAAGATATAGATAGAACTAGGAAGACATACGATGACTCATTGTCGTCGGAGATTTTGCTGGTGTCTCGCGGTCCAAACTAGGCCCGCGCTGATTGAAGTAACTTGTATCTAAAATTAACAGCGTACCACGTTACTAGTTGCATTGGCAGAATTTAACGATATACTTACGTATATCATATATTGCGTCGACATCGATCGTCTCGTTACCAATGGCAGAAATTAAAATCTAATTGATCATCGTAGATATTAATAAACATAATGGTATATGATATGAAGTGTCGCTCCTGCTTTTTTATCATGCTATAGCTACGTAGAATCGATTGCAATGAAAAAATTAATAGATTGAATTAATAGACTGAATTGAAAGAATTAATAGATTTAATTCTATCTATAAAATACGTTTGCGTTTATAAATAAGAATGTCAGCGTCGATGAGGCTAATAAGTTTAAATCATAGATCGTACTTTTAAAGAATTTAGACAGATATATGCTGCCACAACGCAAAATAAAAAGTTTTATCAAATTTTAATGCTTGTTTAAATTAAGAAATTTAAAGACTATTGTTGCAAGACTAGGATTAATGAAGAAGGATTGAATTTTTAAGGGCGAAAGTTCAACAGAAGTCACCGGCGTCGACGCTGTTGTGGGGTTTTCCGGCCGAACGAGACGAGGCAAGAATATCGAGTAGCATGCAAGCTATAGTTCTACAGATATTTTTAAGCATCAAGAACATCTGCTTTCTCGCTCAGATCTCACGGCGTCTTGACACGCCCACGTCGTGTGATGTAACACGCGCATACGCAAGTGTAATATAGGACCATGCCAAATTTCATGGTGTGTATAAAATAATCGCTCTTGCACATCTACGCTAAACTATTTGAAAAATATTCTTTGGTCTTTTATCGACAAATGAGCTCTGCGTCGATTTCGAAGCGTTTTTCTGTGATGAAATTGAAGATAAGAATTGTTAACTACTAAAAATGACCCTTACACACTGGAGAATTACGTACTGCGCAAAAAGTGTTTAATATAATATGATTATTTTCGGGACCAACTATACAATATCTTTTTGTATACAGAATTATAAATGCATATAATTATTATTACTAACACTAGAGCGATAATAATTATAAAATGGAGCTTTTTTAATTATAACCTCTGAATGGATACATATATATAATAATATTATGTGCACTGACGAAAAATATTTAAAGTATCCGTAATTATAATTTCATTATAAAATAGTTATGATTACGAGAGCTCCATTTTATAGTTATTATCGGTCTAATTATTATTTGTAATAATAATTATATGCATTTATAATTCTATATACAAAAAAATATATATCTACACTTTGATTCAAGAATCTTACAAGGATTAACCAACTATGTGAACCAATTATATGAAAGTTGTCTTGTAAACAAAATAATCTCTTTTCTCGAGGAGAAATAATAATGTCGTGTTTGTGCCTTTGGAAATGAATTAAATTACTGCGAAATTGCTTTCACGGAAACAACAATTTTATCTAATTCCAGCTAATATGATCGTGTTGCAAAATTCACCAATTATCTTCTACCGCTTTTTAGAGGCAATTATTATTTAATCGCAAAACTGAAAGCGCATTTCTCAAAAAAAAGAAGAAAAAAACATGTAGACCTTGGAACACAATTATTCTAAATGAATAACTGATCTCTCGGTGACGCGGAAGGACTTAGGACTCATTTGAGTCATCATCCTTAATTGTAAATCCGAATGAATAGTGCGAGTTATCTAACGAAATGCGCGTGTGTAGAATTTTATGGACATTCGTGATTTCGCTCTCGAATTCGATCACGAATTTACAAGCGTGCACCACGCTTCGCAAGTGCGTACGTGCCTACAATATAAGTGCGTTATCTGCGTCGCGTGAACTTGCAGCGGAAATACGCGCCGATGACGCTACACGGGATTTCCAAGACTCTTAAAAGTCCATGAATATTTCGCAACATCTGTTGATCAGAGTAATTTTTTTCTTTCTTTATTTGTCGCTTCACCGTAAAAGTCTTGGATTTGAAAGAGGAGCGATAGAAAGCGTCTAAACGTTACTTTTTCTTTTCCTTTTTCTTTTTTTTTATTATAAAGATATATAAATTTCTATTTTACGTACTGCGCGATGCGCATTTCTGTCTCACAATGTCAAATTTCGCAGATTTTGAAATTCAATTTGTTTACGTCAATAAATCGCATATTCGACTTATTCTTGATTTGTGATGATAACAAACTATAGTCATTTCCGATGGTAACTCGATAACGGATGTATCGATGAGAGATGCTAGTACATTTACACTCGGGGAATTCCTACGTTATTATGACGAAAAGAATCGCGTCCATAGATAGAGCGTGACAATAATGCGACAATAATTATTTAAGAAATGTGTCAGAATATGCCGCATTATTTATAGTCATCAATCGCGATTAATAACAACAATGTCGAAGTATACTTTTTTTGCAATATTTCAATATACGCTATATTGAATACCTAAACGAATATTTTTTTATAGTCTTCATATATTAAGCCTATTGTACAATTGCGTAAGTGTATATAGTTGTAAGAATTGACCAATTACAGTCGGATATTCTTCTCATATTCAACAGTGATTGGTAATTTTTTACAATTACAGTTACTTACAACTACGCTTACGCAATTGTAGAATGGGTTTTAGATAAATAAAAATTCGTGAAAAAATGCAGAGTATACTCATTTCTATAACCACATCTCCAAAGATCATTTTCGCGGAAGTATCGTTCTTCTTAATCATTTAATTTATGCATAAATCGTTTGTATTCGATATTGAATAATCTCGATATTGAAAGAATTGCGAAGTATTCTGAATTAATAAAAAAAAAGTTATCATTAAAATATATAGAATACTCAGACAGCGATTTTTGAAATTTAAAAATTACATCAATCAAATTAATGTCTTTTTTTCTTGCATAAGTAATTGAATATTCCCCATGTGTCTAAAACGATGAAACTTCCAAATGTAATAAAGCGTGATTCTCGAAATGAAAGTGATGAAATCATAAGAAACCCACATGACTCCTCGTGTCCACGTTCGCTATTTGCGAACCTTATATAGATGACTTGTTCTACGCGGTAAAAGCAGTTAGGATTTTCCTGCCAGCTAGGCATCCTTCAGGTGACTATCATCACGTAAACGACATTGATTCTTTCTCCACATTATGATGATTAACGGCAATTATGTTGCAAGCCTCCAAATAGCTGCTGTCGTACAACCGCAGAGAAAATCACAGATCATTAAAGTAAAACATACAATAATTTTTTGTCACGCTTACATAATCTTTCAGCTACGAACGCGCTGTTTCGCCTGATAATTCCTTTTCAATTTTTGTCCATATTCATAGTCAGACCTTATATTTAAAGCTTCCTTAAATTTATCTTTAGATGCTCAGTAGCCAATAAAATAATTCTTAGTACATCTGAAGATAAATTTAAGGAAGCCTTAAATATAAGGCCTGACTATGAATATAGCAGGCATGTGTGTATAAATAATGCTTCTTCTATTTTTAGTCCCTATTATTATTCATCGTTATAAATTATATAGTGACTGTTCCGAAGAACAGATCAATAATATTTAGCAATATTTATAACCTACCGCTATAGTTACGTTGCTCTAAATTCTGAGGTAAAGCTGGTACTATTTGTCCGGGTATCAGATTATTCCTCTCCATCGGGGACAATGGATCCGTCAGAGCCTTGGCACAAGCAAGATCCCCGTTCATGCACGCTAGGTGGAGAGCTGTGTTTCCATGGAAATTCCTCAAAGATGGATCTGCGCCCGCCAGAATCAATCGTCTAACGATTAGCGACTGATTCGTCAACACTGCCAGATGCAAAGATGATTGCCAGTCATCATTATAGATGTTCAACAGACACGGATGAGGAATCAGCCTTATCAAAATAAGCGCAGCCTCCACGTAACCCTGCATGATCGCGATGTGCAATTGCCTGTGACAATAAATGCGTTATGTAAGAGTAAGTTGCCAAAGAGAGTTGATGCAAATTTGAGATTTGCATTATAATTTTTATAACTTAATGCTCTTATTACTTAATTCTTAATCCGAGAGAATATTTGTGGCCCGATAATTCTTTCATTTTTCATTTACATCTTTCAATGTGTTGTGTTAAAATTTTCTTTTAATATAAAGAGGTATTTTTAAAATAAAACTTTCATATATCACAATTTATCGTTGTCAATTATATATATATATCAGGGAATGGAAGTAACTCGTTACTTGTAACGAAGTTACAGTTACAAGTTACTTTTTTGGTAACTTTACTAGTAACTGCGTTACTTTTTTTCTTTGGTAACTGTAACGGTAACGAAGTTACATTTTTTTGGTAACGGTAACGAATTTTACAGTTACGTTTATCGTTACTTTGCACACGATTGGACACGATACGACACAAGCCACTTACACTGTAAAAAAGTTTCGTAAATTTACACATATAATAAATATAAAATAGATTACATGATTAGTTCTGTAAATATAAAAAATCATGCAATTTTACAGAAATTACAGTAATTCCACAAAAATTATGTAAATTTGTTTTTATTGTGTAAATATATCTTATTTTATATTGGAAATTATAGCAGGATATTTTGAATATTTTCTGTAATTATCCAAATTTTAGTAATATTACGTAACATAAAAAGAAATTTTTCGCGTATTGTTGTTAAATGTATAATAATAGTGCAAAATATATTGTCATATTATCGTTCTTGTAGCTACACATATACACATTGTAATTGTACTTCCACAATCTGCTTAGTTCCAAAC